CCGGGGAGAACCCCCGGAGGGGCCTCACCTGCCGGGGATGGTGACCTGACCCCCCTTCCCTCCCTCCCTCGGGAGTGTTTTTTTTCCTTGTGGCCTCTTTTCCGCAGCTCCCGAGCCGAGGATGCGGAGTGGGAGCGAGAGACCCCGGGACAGGCAGTTCTGGGGCGGGGGAGCCGCAGGAACTTCGGTCACAATAATGACGGCAAACCCGCTGTTATTCCCACTTTCTGAATAAGTTCTTTTGCCATAATCCGTTCAGAGCATGCGCTTTTTGCTGGGGTGGTTTTTTTTTTGTTGTTGTTGTTGTTTCCTTTTTTGCATGGGTTTGTCTTTGTTCCCCAGCGTTTAAAATGCTGCTCTCGGTACAGCTTTGTTGTGAATCTCCCTTGTGAGGCCGGAGGGCGAGGGATGAAGCTGAGGCGGAGGGGGAAGGTTGCAGAGCAGGTAGCTCAGATTTGCATCATTTAAATTTTCCTCCCCCCCCATCAGGGTACGGAGCTTGATGCCAAAATCAGTGGCTTCTCAGGAGGGTTCGCTGCATGGCTGGAATAACCGGAGAATCAGAATATCCTGAGTCCCAAGGGACCCTACAATGATCATCCACATCTCTCTTAGCGTTAAAAATTAAGAAAAATCAAGTTGCAGGCACATCTTGCTCTGTTCATCCCATAGCCTACAGAGCATAAAAGAGACTTATTGACTCTTTGGAGATCAGGAATTCAGTGTCGGGGTGAGCTGGGGGCTGCCAGCCCCCGCTGCCCACACTGGCACTCAGGGCTGTGCCAGCAGAAAAGGCCACGGCGCTGCTTTCCCAACACAGCCGAACCCCTGATGTTGGCTGCCTGGGGCTTTTGTTAGCTCTTTCCCAGATAAACTTTCTGCAGACATTTAACTAAAGTGATAAAACTTTATCTAGTGTTTGCTTTTGGGGACTCCGTGATAACAAAGAATGAGGAATGGCGGTGTCGCTCAAAACGTAACATTAAATAGGTTTTTAAAAGAATTTGTTAAATGTTTTAAGCGTTTGCTTGGATTTTCTGAGGTTTGTTTCTTGTGGCACTGAAGGCCCGTTATGATTTGACCCTGTGATAGATTGTACTGCAATTTTTAAAATAAATGAACTCTGTTGCTGGACTGACATCCCACTAATCTGTAACGAGCTGCTCCACTAGCTTCAACTTTGGTGCTACAGAGTGAAGTTTTGTGGGTTATGTAAGTAATTCTCTGAATGTTAAATCCACTGCCCCTTTGTGGGTTTAATACTTGGATTTCTTAATATGCATATCAGGGATTTGTTTGTGCAAATCACTTTTTCCTGTCAAAAAAACCCACGAGTACAGAGAATTCTGGGTGACTGTGTCCCCAAACTCTTGGGAACATATTTCAGGGGATGTTGTCGCTGAGATAACTGAGCTGTGGGAAGGGGGAGTGAGGTAATGTCATTGTGGAGTTCTTGAAAAATACGCCCTAGTTTGAGGCTTAAGCTGAGCGATTTTGAGGCCTGTGTGTGCATTGTTCAGCTGAATATAACCATGGGCTGTTGACAGTAAACAATATTGAATGGAAGCATTTTATTAAAAATGGCAGCAGGGCTCCGTGTGCCACTGCTCAGTTGTTGCTCAGATAAGAACACTTGTTCCGTTTTTTTTGCCACCCCCTTGTTGCAGCTTCGATTGTCACTGGCTGTTGACTGTGTGGATATTTCTGTCAGGGGTTTTTTTGCATAGGAACATCTCATTTTTGGGAGAGGAGAGGAGCTGCTGGGAGCAGCCCAGGGTCCCTGAGAGCAGAGCTGGGGATGGCTCTGTCCTTGATGGATGGAGTGAAAGTGGGGAGTACCTGGCTCAGGGCTGGGAGCACAAACACTTTGTGTGCTGAGCCTTGCAGTGAACTTCATCCAGGCATTTGCTACTACTAACCACCACAGAGCAGAGAATTTATAACAAAACAGGGGGAAATGTAGTGTTCAAACCTTATCTGGCGTTGTGGTTGTGGAAGGTGCTGTGTCAGCAAGCAGCATGCAAAGTGGAGCAGGATTACTTTAATGTATGCTGGAAATAGAAATCAGAGTTTGCAATGGTGGAGTTTCCTAAGGAGCAATCTGTGCAGACAGAGCAACAGGACTAATTACACCCCTGGATTATTCCTTTCTGAGCCTTGTGGTCAGTGCAGGGGTAACAGTCCTGCATCCCTGGGTGCAGTGGGAATGTCTGAGCAAAGAGTGGGACGTGCTTCAGAAAACATTAATTGTTCAGTAATCAACAGAAATTGCATCTTACTCCATGTCTTGGGCCTCGGTGATGGATTTGAGACCAACTCATTTATTTCTCAGCGTGCATAAGAATTCATTGTTTTCTATCAATGTGAAGAGAATTTAAACCTGAGTCTAAACTCAGGGAGAGCTTCCATTCCCTCGCAGAAGGGATCAGTGTTGATACCTCCGAGGAAGAATGTTCAAGTAACAATATATCAGCTGAGAATTGGGTCATGGAGCTGTGGGAGACCTGGAACCTGCTCATTACTCATGTTTTCCTTCATTTTTCACTTTTGGGATATTTTTCTTTCTGGAGCTTTTCTTCATCTGTCAGTGACACCCACATTATGCATCACTAATGATGGGAAGGGCTGCCTTTGTATTTACATCTGTTTCTGTTTGATGAGTGAAAGTGCTGGGGATATTCACTTTATTTAACTTTAACTTTCCCCCCGTTTTCACACCTCTGTGAGTGTGGCAGCTCAGTGTCACCTTTGGCTCGAGCTGCAGCCCTGAGTGAAGGTGACTTCAGATCCACCACATGATGCTGTTCCTTAGAATGCTCCCAGTGTGTGCTGAAGGGTGCCCAGAACGAGGTAAATGTCTGAATTCATCTCATATTCGGTGAAAAACATTAATATTAAAGCGCTTCACCACCGGGTTTGGGTGTTTTTGCACCTTGGGTGAAACATTCCAGCAGCTCCTCTCACATCCACCTCATCCCAGCTGTTAATGGGGCTGGGAAACTCTGGAATATCCAGACTCAAAGGCTCAGAGGAAACACAAGGATGGTGGCATGCATGGAAAAAGGAGTATCAGCAGAATGGTTTTAACTCAGGACTAAGGCCAGCCAAACGGGATAGAACCTTCCTGGAAGAAAACATGTTGACTCAAGCAAGTGGGTAGAGCCTTTATTTTGTTTGGCTTGGGAATTTCTTACAGAATCAGGGTATTTCTCTGATCTTTTAAAAATTGTGTGTTTCAGGTTGCAATCTTTGATTG